TTCCAAAATAAACAAGGGAGAGCTGTGGAGGAAGTGGCACCTGTAAGAGCTGCCCATGGAAACCTCCTCCTCCGTGGTGTGCTGGCACACACCTCCAGCCAACACCAGGCTATGCTGGTGGCCGGCTGTGCTTCCCCTCCCTGGTGCTCAGCCCAGCTTCTCACAGAAAAATATTCACACAAGCAATTGTGTTGATAATGCAGTTAAAGACAATCACATAATAATACCTTTAAGGTAAGAAATATATGCAAAGACATCGCTGCATCAAGTGACTGCTCCAAAACCCAATGTTCCTCAGCAAATGAACGACTGGTGCTGCAGCCTTGATCCCAGCACAGACATTGCTTTATCAGTGGATAAAGTGTGTGATGCTTTGGGATGTGACATCTAAGCTCCAACCCAGAGGACATGGATTTTTTCCTCTGAAAGAGAATTTCAGAGGAACTTTCACCTGCAGCTCAGCAGGGTCTCAAACTGAACTGAGAATGCTCTGAGCAGTGGGAGATTCTTAAGCATATTGTAAAAACCACTCCAGTTAACTTTTATACAGAGCAAATAATCTGTGTTTCTGGATTCTTCTTTATTTCTATGGATTAACACAACTTGAGGTACCAAATTTATGAATGGCATATCAGTGTGTCAAGCTAACATCATTCATTTCTTAAGGTATTTGCATAAATGTTTTAATTGTTTGGGGATGACAGCTGGCAAGAGTTATTTCAAAATATCATCAATAGACATATATTGAAACAAGTTTTGGTTTTGTTCTGTTGCTTTTCTAGAATAGTTTCCATACTTAAGTGTTCAAAAGATGAACCTCGGTCCTATCCCAGGGTAACTGATCCTCTTGTTATCTCCAAATTTCTGCCAAAATAAAAATCCTTGGAAAGGTTCATATGACTGAAGTTGGGTTTCTGGCTACATGCTGCCAGCTGCCACAGGATCTGGAAGTTCACACAGTGGTCTCCTGCACAAAAGTGGCACAAAGGGTCTTTAAGTGCTTTGTGCATACATTCTGATGGGGTTGTACAGACTGTTTGACAGACTGTGTGCAACACAATTTCTATCACAGCCAGACAAACAGGTCGAGAGAAGGGATGAGACTGTCCTACATTCAAATTACATAAATCTGTCTGCTACACCCCTAAAACACATCTACTTGTAAGGTAACAACAAAGACTACAGGGGAATTTTAGGGAAAAAAAAAAAAGACAACCCTGCTCAGCAAGAGTGCAGGGCCACAGAGCAATGGCAGCGAGGGCTCTGCCCACCCAGCTTCAGCTGAGAAACCCCCACTCCGGGGAAGCACACGGCTTGGACCAGCTCATGAGCTCCCACAAACCACACCTGAGGCCACCAAACTCTCCTCTGGCAAACTCAGTCACCAGTTTCCAACGCAACACCCTGCCACGTGCTCTGCAGGGTGCCTTGAGCCTTTTTTCCACCCCTGATCATTTTCCTGGGATAATTGACTGAGTCCACCTCAAGCTGGCCGGTTGAGGCAATTCTGAAAGTGCAGTCCAGGGCTGGGCAGGGCTCTGGGCAGGCAGCTGTGCCAGCACAGAGGGCAGGGCCTGGCTCCTGGGGAGGAGGTCGTGCGGTGGCCACGCAGCCGCCCTGAGTCCGGCCTCGGCCGCAGGCAGAGACAACTCTGCCTGCAATCAGAGCTCGAGGGGACTTTTGATGGGAGAGTTTGTAATCCAGAAGGTTTCCGTTTCAGTGGCACTTACAGAGCAGAAAACTCATGGAGGTAAGATCCCGAGAGGCACCAGCACACTGTGCTGGAACCCAGTGCTTAGTTACTTCAGAGCATTGCAGTGTTAGAGCCCATTCAATTAGTGGGGCCTGCAGGAATATTTGCATTCCTAAATCTCTGGGTTCCTGAAAGGGTTAAAGCTTATTATTAGCATATAATTTACAGGTCCCTTCTCCCAGGAAAGAAATAATGCACAGTAAATGCCACATTCATTTTAATAATACATGTGGCAGTCTGTGCCCAACATCTGCACAAAGGTAAAGCAGACAGATTTTTTTGACATGTCCCACTCTGCCATCGAAACACAGGTTTTTTGTTTTGTAAGTGACGGAAGGTTTAATCAAGAAAGCAGGCAATTCATCAATCGAAACAAGGCTGCTCACACCGCCCTGACAGCACACACATGGTTTTATACAGAAGAAACCTGGCCACCTGTCAGCAGCACCTTTTACATCAGGATATACAAATACACTGGGTGATCAATCCTCCAGCTCTTCCCATTCATTTCTTCGTTTTCTTATTATATTTTTCTTTATGCTAGATGTTGCCCTCATTCTCTGCAGGGATAGATGGGAGACAAGGCAAGCTATGGCTGTTTATACACTATCATAAAAATTTATATACCCTTAGAGTGACTTATTTCCCTTCTATTTGAGTACCATTATTATAAATAATTTTTCACTTCATTCAGGAATTTTCCCTGTATGTTATTATCTGTGCCTGCCTGCGAGAGCTGCCTCTCCCTCACTGTCCTTGTGCCTCTGATAAGCCAAAGCAATATGCAGGCAGAAGATGCTCAAGTCTGAAATGAAGGCAGTATGTAGTCACAACAACATCTTAATTAAGCTGAAGGCCATGAGAAAAGACTGTGCTGTGAAATACTGAGCCGTGTCTGCTGACAGGTCTGTCTGGAGTGAGGCATTCTTCTTCCAGCAGCTGCACATTAAACCTGTCAGCTCCTCAGCACCCCGCTCACAGCAGCACCCACAGACCTTCTGCACATTAACTTAGAACTAATTCTGCCTTTTGGTCTGGGACGTGTGGCACGAGGTGGGACCAGTGAAGGTGCTGGGCACGAGGATGACGCCAGCAGTGCCAGTGCTGCACTGCCATGGTGCTTAGCAGGCTCCTGCTGTGGGGTCTGGGCAGTGCTTCCCTATCTGCACCCTGTCAGGGACTGACTTACTAGTTTACTGCACCAAGAGAAGCCTCCTTAACTTTCTGGTCACCCGATGTCTCGTTGCCAAGACTGGCAATGACAAAAGGCTAGTTAAAACCTGTAATTGTTGCTTTCAGGACCATTTTTTCCTTGACTCCCGTTTTGTGCAAACAACAACTGCATTACACAGTCCAAGGGGTAATGGGCAGTTCCAGGAAGGAAATGGTCATTCTGCCAAAATGCATTTGAGATAGAGAGTAGGATCGACAGCCAAAATTCATGTCACCTTCCACAAACATGCTGAACCCCAGCTTTAAATGTCATTTTCATTGACTACTGAGAAAATCTTGGGTGTCTACAGAGAGTGAAGCGAGACCACGCTGCAGCTCTTCATTCCAGCCCTCCCTTCCCGAGCAGCTCCTCCTGTGCCCACCACAGACTAAGGCAGTACCAAAATTGGAAGAGAAGAGACTGTTCTTAATGCCTTTTGTTTCCCTCACCAGCCCCAGAAACCGCTCCACTATTCTGGGAGCCAAGAGAGGGAGCCCACAGGCCTGTCTGCCACGCAGGCACAGAGGAATCCTGTGTCTGCCAGAGAGCCCGTGTTCCCTCGCCCACCACACCGGGGTCCCCTCGCCCACCACACCGGCCACTCGCCACTGCCGCCCACACGTCTCACGCACCCACCCCACCCCGGCAGAGATCCCACCGTGGCAAAGCGTGGCCTGGCAAAGCGTGGCCTGGCAAAGCGTGGCCTGGCAAAGCCTGGCCTGCAGCACAGCTCCGGTGGGTGCTCCTAAATCTCCCGTTGCCATGGCACTGCAGCGAGCACTGCAGATAGACCGGACTGGCTGCACACAACACCAACGGAACAGGAAAGTTGGGAACGGTTTCCACAGCACTGTCTGGGGGCTAATCCACCTCAGCAAGGTTTAAGCACACAAAGGGAATTGTCACAGCACCTCATTGCAGCTGCTGACAAGGCAGCCATGGCCAGGAGCTGTGCACGAAGATCCTGCCAATGCACGGGATGTTTCATATGACAAGACTCTTTCTTTGGAAAGGGCTCACAGCTGCAATAGCCATTTCAGCATATGCACAACTCATATAACAGCATTTCAGGACAAGAATGTGCAATTGGAGGAAAAATAAGAGTTATATACTTTGAAATGTGCTCATGCAAACATGGAGAACTAATGCCCTGCCCAGTTCCATAGGCCTGTTTTGTGCTTTGGCTGTAAGGATCTGGAAAAGTGTTCAGGCTCTTTGCAAAGGGCTCCTCAGGCTGTGCAGTGAGCAGAGGCAGCCCTGCACACCCTGGAGCAGGGTCTCTCGCAGTAACACCCACACAGAGCTGCTGTTGGGCATTTGGTGCTTTCCCAGGAGAGAAAGCACAGCTTCCCATCTCCATGCAGGATTGTCTCATGTGAACACAGGAACACGCCTTCCCTTACATTTCCAAATCTATTAGGGCAGGAGAGTAACAAGAAAAACAAGGACTGACAAGAATTATGCAATTGTTATATTCTATCTCTTTAGGAACCCGAAGCTGCAGTTTCAGGCAGAGATTACCTTTTAAATAACCCTTTGATTATGGTACACGAATTAATGCCATGTTCCCATGTTACAAGTGTCACTCACTATTAATAGCAAAAACCTGTGAATGGCACATTTTTGTCATCTTCTCTTCCCTGATTATGCACAAGCAGTACCTACTGCACAGCCCACTGAATCCACTGCTGTTTTTTCTGGGTTTCCAAACTGTCCTAAATCTCCTTCAGCCAGAAGAAGGGACTGGACTTTCACTACGTTTTGATGGAGTCAGGTTTAAAGGCAATATTTTTTCCCCTTTCAAAAACAACATAACAAAGAGAAAATTGTGGCTAAGTGTGATTCTACCATGCCTATCACAATATTTGTTCAGGTGTATTCCAGCACCCTGGCTGCTCTCAACTATTCAATGGCGCTGATCAAAAGCTGATGTTGTTCCATGGGTACCACACACCTGGCTGTTTGCACATGCAGGTTTGCTGTACTTGGTTACACTTCCGATTCCACAAGAGCAAAGAAGCCGTGGCAGCTCACCTGAGATTGCATACAGGTTGGAGTGCTGGTGCTCCAGGTCCAGGCGGGTGCTGTGACTCTTGCCCCGAAAGCTGGCCGGGAGTGTCAGCGAGATATGCCTGAGGGAGAGAGAGGGGAATTGGGGATGATGTTACTACAGAGCAGAAAATGCTGCTGCTGTCAGCTCGCTCCAGCCTGATGACTCCAGTCAGGTTAAGCAGCAAATATTGATATTAACGTTGCTTCCAAAACTGTCTACACACAATGTCAGCCTCCTCCACCCCCCTGAGCACTGGGCTCAGCCAAAAACTGAGGGCTGCAACAGTGACCATCTACCCATGGTGGAGCATCCAGCCCTGGCAGGGCATCCACCCTGAGCAGGGCATTTGCCCCTGGCCAGGCACAGCAGCTCCACTCAAGCCAGCACCCAGGAACAGCCCACATGGCTTTTCGCTTTTAATTAAAATCTGTATTTTTCTAATGCAGATCCCAGGTCTGTGTGAATTTTAATAAAACGTTATCATTAATCTTCTGGACTGTGTTGCCACACATAATGAAGAGGCTCCCTCTTCACAGAGGGGTTCAGTGCAGCACGAGGGAGTGGCAGCAGCTCCCACTTCACCTGGACACAGGCAGACCCTCAGCATTGCCCTCCTGCCAGAGGGAGAACCAGGTGACCTTTGTGTCCTCCTGGAGTCCCTGTGTGTGACACAGGGCCCTGTGTATTCTCCAGCAGAGCATCAAACCCACGTCCTCAGCCAGCAGGTTTTGTCTACCACATGAATCATCTGGAAATTATCTGTCTTTAAAAACAGGACACATTTTGGGAAGAACTATGTATTTTTAGCCCTCAATGCAGCTGATGGTGAACAGCACAGATAAAATAAGAAAAAGCAAACATCAGTCTGAGTTTGCTTGTGCTTCCCAAAGCTATTTCTAACCAAAAAAAGATGGTGTGAAAATATATTTGAATTTGGCTATCAGTTTGCTGTTTAAAACACAATCCACATGAGAGTCTCTGAAGAAGCAGGTTTGTCATGAACACACTTTAAAACAGGAGACCACTGCCTGTAGGCATGACACACTTTTCATTTGGTTTTTAATAGCAGTATCCAAAAATACTTTCCAAGGCACTGAAACAGCCAGTAGAAAGACTTTGAATTTCTCTGGTCTGCAGGGGAACTGCTTTCTTCACCACAAACAGAACAGCAGGAATTGTTCTGGAAGCAAACAAAGCAGATCTACTTAAAAGGGTCATTTCTAAGGAGAGTATTTTTTAGAAGTTTGTACCAGCTTGTGCTGCAGGAGAGGCCAATCCCCTGCCCTCCAGACAGCCCTCCTGCACAGCCCACTGCCATGCTAGGGAGGTGACACACGTGCCCTCAGGCAGGGCATTGCAGGGAGTGTCCCACAGCTGGCTCAAGGCAGCACTGCCTGAGCACCAGGACACAGCCCTTGGCTCCAGAATGCAGGCAGCAGCCTTCCAGCACAGCTCTGAGCCCTTTGCTTGCAGAAAAATCTCTGCAGCACAGCCCCAGTGGGCCCCACCGTGCCAGGCAGCTCTCACACACACACAGCAGATGGAGGGGGTGCACGGGCCACGTGTGCAATGAAAACGAGTCGCTCGCCTGCCCAGGACCTGACCACACACACGACTGTGGCAGCAGCAGGTGTGCCCAGCCCTCACTGCCCAGCTCCACAGGGAACCCTCAGTGGGCAGCACTCCCACCACTGCTCCTGGGGCTGGGGGCAGTGCCAGCCCAGCCTGGACACCAGGGGCTTGACTGTGGCTGTAACGAGGGCTCCTTGGGAAACAATGGCCTGCATCCCTGCCCTGGGGGCCACTTGCCATTCCTGAGGTAGGACAACTGGGCATTCCATCTCTCCCACTGAACTGCACGTGGACAGCCGGAGAGATATCTCCAAGAAGAACATCAGCTGCAAGCCTACAAGACAGGGCAGTGACTGCTGGATGGAAATCAGGTCTCTCCTTCCCCTTGTCCTTTTACAAAAGCATGACTTTGTAGGGAGAAATGGGAAACAAAGCCTAATTTATTTTAAATTAATGCAAACTTTGGCCAGGATCAATATAACTTATACCTACAAAGTTGACTGCATAATACATTTTCCTTATGTGTTGTAAGAGCCAAATCATTTTGCATTGTAGAAGACAAAAAAAAGAGGCTGCCATTGAAAAGCAAGAAAATCCCAATTACAAAGTCCCCAAGTTCCTAAACACATATCGTGGAAGTATGTGCAGCTCTGCGGCATATGGCAAATCAATTACTAGTTCAAATTTTAAAACAAAAACATGGTAGATGTGTTGCACAAATAATCAAGAACAACGGTTTGGTTTAGATTACAGCGGCCACTAGAGTTTTGAATACAATTAATCATCATTCCAGGCAATGGGAAGCCATACTGACACTTATTCCTAATTTGAATATTTAATTAGGGTGAAGTTCTTCATCAAATTACCACAGAACTGGGAGGAAAGCCTAAAAGATTTAAACAATTACTACTTTAACCCTTCCACAACTTCTCACCTGTGAGCACAACAATCTTTTTACTGTTTTGCAAAGCTGGAACATGCTCAGGCAATGTGAGAAGACAGCATGTAAAAGGTACTACAAACATCCTGGGAAAGGGGCATGGACACCCAGCAGCCCAAAGGGCTTCTCTGCCCAGGCCAGGCTGGCACAGGCTTCTGACTGCCTGTGTTCCTTGGCCTTTACCAGAGCAAAGCTTTCGGGCCACATCTCTATTTTAGCAGCAAGTGTGGTTTCTCCCAGGGCTTTTGTGGTTTGGGGTTTGTTGTTGTTCAAGTTGGTTATTGGTTTGGTTATTTTCAAGTGAAGAGCCTGTCCAAAACCATCCAACAGGCTCCTGTATTGAGGGACACCGAAGCTGCCACCCACAGCTGACCCGGCACAGCTCCTGCCTGGGAGGGGTCCCAGCTCTGGTCCTGCACCGGGAGCTCACGGGATGGGGTTGGACCCTGGTGCTGCTCCAGATCTGCTGCACCTCCCAGCACCCCATGGGCATCCTCTCTCTGCACAGCCCTGCCTCCAATCGCTCAAACACCCCTTCATGTGCTGTATTAATCCATACGAGAAAATCTCTTTTAATGAGGAGTGATATATAGTTATGAACTCTCTAGAGCCATAATTAGAGCAAACTAATTGAAGTTGTGTTTTGACACACTTTCCAAATTCACGGGTACTGCATGACATATTCACAACACTACTGCTGCACACCGTGGTGACAGCAAAATCATTAGGCTAATAACACTTATTTGCATTCTGATCATGCCAGCAGCGGCCGTTAAATGCTGCCTCAACCAGTGCTCGTTTACTCAGAAAGTTTCCACTGGAAGATATTAACAGTAATTATTAGTACTTTAGCGAATCTCTGATGTTTAGGAATGGCAACTTGCATTAACTATCCCCATGCCAATTATCTTCCTTTTGAACTGTCACCAGAAGCAGCTTTCCTCCTCCCCAAAAGGAAGCCATGCTGCAGAAAGACTGGACGGTCCTGGTGAGGCCAAGCACAGGGCTCCAGGCTGTCCCTCCACAGCTGAAGTCAAACCCACTGCTTCAGCACTGTTTCAATGCCAAAGATATTTTTCTCCAGCATACAAAAACTTCCAGACAACTTAGGATGATCCCACTGCAACAGCTCAGGACAGGGCAGGTTTAACCATTCTCTTCATTTCAGTTGCTCTTTTAGTCAGTAAGTCCACAGAAGTCAGCATGTGATGAGGAGATCTTTCACGTGCAGGTGAAGGGGATTTGAGGTCTGTGCACATTATGGCCGCTTTTTGAATGTTTTTGGAGAGTAACTCACATAAAACAGGCCCAGGAATGCCTGACAGTTCCAAACTGGTTAAGAACTGTCTGCAGGAAGGTGATGAACTGCTTTTGAAGTGAGGGGGCAAGTACTCATAAAAAGGAACAGAGGATCACAAGGGGAAATGCCAGATATCAAAGGATGCTTCATAATTCATACAAAAATATCAACAATGCACAGCAAAAGCTGAATGGTAAGATGGGCTTCAGACCCAGCAGTGACAGTCGGGTGGTACAAGTGTGGCACCCAGAGCAGCATCTGAACCATCAGGCAGCAAACTTTGTTTCTTTCACAACGACCTTCAGAACAGAAAATCCTTCAGTCTCATGGGAATACCTTCCAAAAAAAAAAAAAGGACCCTGCTTTCCATAATCAATGATCATGGAAGGATCACGCCTCATGAAAAACTGAGGACAGAACAATTAAATTCCAAGCTATAGATGGCTGAAAACACACCTAAAATGAGTTAGTATCAGGCTGCAGCTCTCAAGAAACGTAATCCAACTCGAAAGCTTTGCCTATGGAGACTGGAAAAGGCCCATTTCTAAGAAAGGAGCTGCTGGGATTCCACAGACTGGTATCAGAGGACTTGGCAACCACCTGCTGTACCAGGAGGCATTTCCCAGACTGCAGCTCACAGCCCAGCAGGTATCCATAGTTCCGGCAGTGGCCAGATCCCAGCTACAGTATTTATTCACAGCCCTTAACTTTGACTGTGCTGGGGTACTGTGCTGCCAGAACACCTACCTCATACCCCAAAGAACTGCAATGAAAACCAAAACTGCAAGGCAAAAATCACCTCGGGTAATGGACTTCATTCCAGACAATCTATTCTAATCGTGTAAACCAAATACTTAAATACTTTCTAAAACCTTCCTGACCCTTTCCCTAAAACAAGCAACATATGGGCTTTGCAAGCATTTCATCTCATTCCAAGCTACTAAAATATCCTGTTTCCTAAAAGTCAATGAGAACTGGGGGTGCCAGATTCAGATTTTATAAAAGCCCAAATGCAGGAGAGAATGAAAAAGGGAGTAAGCAATTCTTTCCATGTTCAGATCTCCCCGTTTAACTTTCCCAGCTGCAGGAAGGGAGGAAGGCAGCACGTGTTCTGTGCACTGCACACAGCTCGTGCCCCCTGTGTTCCCCTCCCCAGACACCCACGCCACGACAATGGGAGTGATGTCGCACTCTCCATCAAACAAGAGCAGCCACTGGTTGAACACACGAACCCCAGTGATGTTCAGGAGTGCACATGATCTCCTGC